CCCTGTGGTGAGCTGCCCCGGGCATTTTGACTGCCCCCGACGCAGCTGAGCATGGAGAGCCCTTTGGTTACCAACCTGCCTGTGCCCATAGGCGCCCATGGTCACCAGTCATTGCCCGTAGAGTGGTCTCATCCAGTTTCAGAAAGTCTGAGAGATGGGGCTTCATCTTGGCTATTCAGGACACTATGAGGATATTTAGAGGTTCACTGGCCATGCAGACATGTTTCCAAGCATCTAAAGTCAGATTTGATTTCTTTATATTTAAACATAACCCAAGGAAAATGAGGTACCATTTTCATGAAGTCAGTATTTGATAAAAATAACAAATGGAAAAGAAAGACCCAAACCAAGAAATGCAGAAATAAATACATACACATCCTTGAACCACATTATGCCATCCAATCCTGACTCACTTCCATGGCTCGAAGATTATACCCGTAGATGACGCATTAAAACCGCATTAAAATTAGTTGTCGGCTGTTCGAAGTCCTGTGCTCACGCTGCTCCTGTTCAGCCATTCCCTTTTAGCAGCTGCTGCTTTTCCAGCTGATCAATGTGTGATGTGAGCTGAGCAAGAAGCAGCATGGGGCATGTCCAAACACCCACCTTGTGGGGATCACCCCATCAGGGGCGATGGGGCTGCGAGTCACGGAATGAAAATAACCCCATCTGTCCCTTGTGTGCATCCCTGGTATAATTTATAGTGCTCTGGGAAAAAGCATCCCTGCTGAAGCACTGGACACAGACACGATGGATGAGCAGAGCCTGGCGACTGTGGGACAAGCTGTGGCCAGTGATGAGGGTCCAAGAGATGGAGCCAAAAATGCTCCACAGTGGGAGTTTTGCTCAGAGGTCTTCCTGGTGGGTTTCAGTGGCAAGCGGCTGGGTGTTTTTCAGCGTGGCATATGCCAACTGCAGGTCTGCTCATTTTAGGGGGCACTTGGAGGCTGGGATCCTCCGTGGCAAATCTGCAGGCAGCAATGGGTGGGAAGGATCCGCTCAAGGTTCAGGTTTGCCCTGGGGCTTCCCTCCTCCCCGCCGGCCCTGCGAGGGGCAGCTCTTGGGATGGAGAGCTCTGCTCCAGACCCCGCAGCAGCTCTCCCAGGATGGCCAGGGCTTCCTGCAGGCCTTCTCCGGTGTGGGCGCTGCACCCCTGGAGCACCCAGCGGCGCCCCACCAGCTGCCCCCGCGCAAGCCTCTCCCCCAGCTCGGTGGGAGCCAGTGCTCCCGGCACCTCCTGCTTGTTGGCCAGGAGGAGGACGGGGACGCCGGCCATGCTGGGGTGGCTCAGTGCTTCCTCCAGTGCCGCCGCTGCTTCAGGCAGCCGGGCCGTGTCTGTGCTGTCGAGCACAAAGATGAGGGTCTTGGTGTCCTCCAGGTAGTCAGGCCAGCTTGCCCGCAGGCTGCCTTGTCCGCCGACATCCCAGAGGGTGAAGGATATGCGACAGGGCGTTTGCAGAGACTCCACATTGAAGCCCACCGTTGGGCAGGTCTCCACAGCCCGGCCGCTCTTCAGTTTGTAGAGAAGGGTGGATTTGCCAGCGAAGTCGAGCCCCAGCATGACAACTCGAGCATCTCTTTTGCGTTGGCCTTTGGAGATCAGCTTCCCCATCAAAATGCTGTCACACCCGTGGAAAAAAAAAAATTGCAGCCAAAAAAAGAAAGCAAGCGTATTTCCTCTATAAAGTCAGTTAATAACAGAGTGGTCAGTTCTGCCACTCCAAAAGGGCTCCTTAGGTTTGCTGAAGAAAGACACAGACAGCTTGCTTTTGCTTCTCTTCGTAGCTGAACTGAAGTGAGAGCTATTATTTACGAGGTGTGGAGCCGAGCCAGGGAGCACCGCTGGAAACAATAATTTCTATATCCCAGCTCTGCTGCTGCTAACTTCCATTTTCATTCGCGGCCTGAAGTGATCAGGGCAAAAGAGAGCCAACATTTTGCAGGAAGAGGTGGGGAGATGGTGGAGCAAGTTTCCTCCTCCTTGCATACAGAAATAAATCAGCTTTTGTTCATTGGCTTCTCTAGGGGAAATCCACCCCCGGCAGGACAGGACAAGGAGGAACCCGGGTTTCAGACCAGAGTTACTCTGGGAATTTGCTGAATCACAGCTCAAGGGTGTGGATTTAAACATGAGCAACAAGACAACTGACAATTGTTCTGCCAGTCTTATGTAGAAAGTACAAAACCAATCTCCGTAGAATCAGCTTTCACTACCTGTTGTGCAGACGCTAGCAACAGCAATTTTAAAAAAAATGCACACAAGCATGTTTTTTTAATGTCTCATTGAAATATGACCAGTCAAAATGCTTTCCCTGGAGTGAAAATCTATAAAATTCTTTACTCCGAGGTATTTACTACATTTTAACTTTCGTAAGTGAAGCAAAGTCAGTCTGCTGTGGCTGAGGGGGTAAAAAAAATCCCTTAAGAGAAGGGGAAAATGTTTAACAAGACAGCACCACTTGAACTTTACACACCAGAGGCAAAAATGTGCTGCTGAAATTGCTCCTGGAGTCGCTTGTGTAAGAGTGGCTGATGGCAGCCAGGCAGAGGCCCAACAAAGGTCGTATTTACCTTCTTTATTGGTTGGGTCTTGCTCCTAAAAAGCTGCTCAGAGACATGCAGAACCGAAAGCAGCTGTAAATCTCACACTGCGGTGCTAATGCAGAGCTGCTCTCCAGCCACCTTTATTTGAGGATGAAGAAGGAAATGTGATTCATCTGTGCTTTTCTGGGACCGTGGGGGACTTCCATGTGTCTGTGGGAGATGTTTGCCCGGCAATGATCTCCACATGACACCTCCATGTCGCAAGCCACCATTGCTGGGGATGAAGTTCAGCACGTGGAAGGGACTGTCTGGTCAGTGACCAGGTCACTGGTGGCCAAACAGAGGCATATTTCTTGGGGGCAAGATGTGTCAATTTTCCATCTTTCAAAGAAAGGCAGATGAATGAGAAACAAAATAAAACAAGGAGTCCAGCCCAGATAGGCTGGATGGGATTGCAGGGGATCCCATAGACCATGTTTTGCAAGATGTTTCTGTGGTACATGTCTGTACCATAGTTAACCCACAGAGCTGGTGGGCACCAAGAGCCTCCACGAGTTTTGTGCAGCTTGTGGATATGTAAGATGTGTTGCTATGGTCAGGCTTTAGGTTAATCCAAAAGCTAATGATTATTTACAGCAGTTGTTGCAGAGTTAATCTAACAGCATAAATGCACCACCATGCATGTGATAAATCATGCAGTATATGTTCATGTGGGCTCTTTTCTGAAACAAGCCTATAAATGGAAAAAGGGCAGGAAGCTCTCTAGACAGGAATAAAAAAAAAAAAAAAGAGAACTATGATGTGCAGCGGATCCCAATCCTTCAGGGAACTAATTGTTTGCACACTCTGCAGTGCATGCTGCTGCCCAAGGGTTACCCATTTGTCTGAGTTCTTCATTTTTAAAAATAAGTTAAATTGTTCTCTGGCTCCTCAATCCACTTGTTTTCCATTTTGGGAAAACCTTCCTCCCCATATTGCATTGCACTGTAAGATCAATGTAGTTGGTATTTTTTGATGTACCAGTGGGTCGAGTGAATGGTCTCTTGATGTTTTCATGTTTCTCCCACCTCTGCTACCACTCATTTTCTCTGAGGCTTGATAGGAGGCTGTGATACACATCTGTTTCATCTGACCAGACATTTATAGCACTGAATTTTCTTTTAAGTAAACTAAAATATAGGCATAGGAAACAAGGGTGGAAATTCTACCATCCGATGAATAATTGAGTATTTGAAATATGATGTGATGGAGTCTTTATTGCATCACTCTCTAACATGCTACAGAAGTAGGCTGCTTCTGTAAAAAGAAAAAAAAAAAAAGGAAAAAGAAGAAATAAAGCCAGAATAAAGAGTGCAACTAGGGTACAGTTTTATTGGAGATTGCTTTCAGGTTTTCTATGGCACAGAACAGAGTAACTCGTGGGGAAATAGAGGCAACACTATATTCTTTTTCTAAATTATTATACCCTATGTATTGAACTGCAGCCTATTTTCTTTTTTCCTGCCAATTATTCCAAATATGGGGTGCAAACTGTGCCTACAGAGTCTGTTCCACCCACAGCTATTTTATAAAAGCATAGTATTTCCAATAAATAATGTATAGGAGCAATTGCAAGTCTGTTTAAGGAAGAATGAAAGAAAAGAAAGTAAAAGCAGATGAGATGAGCTCTGAGTGAGTCTATTGCTGGAGCAGAAAGGCCATACGCTAAATAATTCAGAAATGGTGTTCAGAGACGAGGACGGCCCCCACCCCAGCTATGTCTTACATGGGCAGAACAAATGTTCTTGCCTCGTGTTTCATGTCTCCCAATTCACAGGAGCAAAGCCAGTGGTTGCTAATTCCATTTATATTTTCGTAGAATTTCAGTCAATTTGTTTGCTGTTTGTTAGGCATGCATTTCCCTGCTTCCTAGACATTCATCACAAGGAGCAATAATCAGGATTAGTACTATAGGAGAGAATACCCTCTCCTACCCATGCCCTAAATATTCCAGTAACTGGAATTTTGTCCCGATCACTGTATACACTGTCAAAGCACTTTGCCCTCACTCCATGGGGTGCAGACAGGAGGAAGAAAGAGACTATTAACTGAAAGAGGTTTAAATTGAACATAAGGAGGAAATTTTTTACAATAGATGTGGTGAGACACTGGAACAGGTTGCCCAGAGTAGTTGTGGATACCCCAACCCTGGAAGTGTTCAAGGTCAGGTTGGATGGGGCTTTGAGCAACCTGATCTAGTGAAAGATGTGTCCCTACCCATGCCGGGGGGGGTGGACTAGATGACCTTTAAAGGTCCCTTCCAGCCCAAACCATTCTACAATTCCATGATTCTGTAACCTGCAGCAGGACATTAGACACAGGCTCTGGAGAACAAGCCGATAGTTGATGGCTCCCTAGGGAGATCACATCATCTCAGGGCTGGACCATGATGCTCTTAGCATGGCTGTCAAGATAGTTTTCATGGCTGTGATGCCATACACCAAAACAGGGTAAGCTCTGAAGCAGGTAAGTCTAACTAATTCACTGGAAATCAATGTTAATCATTGTGGTGGTTTGGGCCATACTGACCACTGAAACAAATGACAGATGCTCTCCCACACCTCTCTCTGCAAGGAGAGGAGGAAGAGAGAGAAAGAGACTTAAGAGTTTAAAAATAGCCTAAACTGCTTTAATGAAAATTTTAATGAAATAAAATAAAATAAAAATAATGAAAGATATACAATATATACAAAACCATATCAAGGTCCCAAGACAATGATCACATCACTGTCAGGTACTGGGAAAGTCCCAGACTGATCTCAGTGATGGATAGGAGCTGGATTCCAGAAAGCACGGATCGGGATCAAAGGCAGACGAACAGACAGCATCCTCCTCAGACATCAGCATTGAAGAAAGAGGCTGACCCCTTTGATCCCACAGCTTTTACACTGAGCATGATGCAGATGGGATGGAATGCCCCAGTGATCAGTTTTGGGTCACCTGTCCTGTCTGCTCCTCCCCACAGGTGCAACCCCTCCACACACTTCCACTTCCGACCCTCCAACAGGGCAAATAACAAAGTTAGCTGCCCTTGGGTGTTATAGCAATCAGTATAAGCAAGAGCCTCTCTGCATACCATGCCTGGGCATAAATTAGAAACAATCAAGTCCTACCTCTCTGGGACTGAACAGTGTCTGGACCATATGCTTTTAATTTCAGAGACTTCAGTTAGTCGGAAGAGGCTTAGCTGCAAAGTAAAATTACTGGTCAGAAAATTGGTTCTGTTTTACCTCAAACCAGGACAATCATGTAGCAAAAGTGCAGCTCAGAAACACTTCTAGAGAAGGCAGTGCCTCTTATTACACGTTACCAAACTACCAGAAGTATCCTGGAAAGCAAGGCAGAAACTTCCAAATAAACTGCATGTCGTTCGTTCCCTGTTATTATTTTATTAGTGCAAAATACTTCCCATTAATGGCCTCACAGGCATTGTGCAGCCACTGCTGCTCTCTCTTCCATTAGACATGCAGTCACCTTTGCATCAAAGAGGTAATTAGAGGCATGTGAAAGCTTAGTCCCCCTTGCCACCGCAACCAAAAGATTATCTTCACTAAAACTATAGATAGTTCTTCATCATAACTAGTTTTTCATCTAAAACTGAATTTCTTTGTAGATAATATGGGTATAACATGGGTAATTTCTAAATTACCTCACAAATCTCACCCAAATAATATTCACAATATCAACGTGAGTGTCAAGGCACCATGGGCACTGAGGCGCCTCACTGGCCCTAACCAGCCTCCCTGGCGATGTCCCCGCAGTGACCCCAGGCAGTGTCCCCAGCAGTGATGCTGTGGAGCTCAGGAGACAGATGCTTTCCCCCCAGCATCCCCTTCTGACAGGCACAACCTGGAGGGCATGCCCCTGCCCAGTGGTAGAAGGAGTTGGGGTGGGTGTTTTGTCCAACCCATGTCACCTCTTTGGGAGGCAGCTCTGAGGGACACAACCCTCAGCAGAGCCAGGAATAACAGGAGTATATCTGGTCCTTACTGTGAGTGTTTGTTCTAATGGCATCTGCTTGAAGGCCAT